TTCAAGAACGGAAGAGACTCTCTGGCTCAGAGCCAAACCAAATAAACCAGGACTATCCAATTGGAATTTGGAATAAAACTTAAAAAGTGAAATAGGTTTGATCAAAGAACTTAAGACTTGACTTATTACTCGAGTTCAACGGTACTAAATAGGTCCATGCCAGAAACCAAGCTAGACACTTGAACACGCTGTTTAATTTAATCACTGAATAAGTACTAAAGACTCCTAGAAATCCCCAATTACCTCCTGCAGTGTCCAGTAAGGCAGCCACGAGCCACACGCTTAAGCTGGCTTTGCCACAAACTGAATTTTCAGTCTCCACCTTCTTTTTTTTTTCCAACAGCTTTATTGACATATTCACATACTACATATTTATTCACATACTACAAATTTTACCCATTTACCGCAAACAATTCAGTACATTCAGAGTTGTACAACCATCACCACAATCTAAATGTAGAAACATTTTCATCACCCCCAAAAGAAAACTTGTACCCATTAGTAGTCACTCCTCATTCCCCATGCCACCTCATCTCATCTCTACCCTGACAGCCCTAGGTAACCAATAACCTACTTTCTCTCTGTATAGATTTGCCTACTCTGGACATTTCCTATAAATGAAATCATGCAATATGTGGCCTTTTCTAACTGGCTTCTTTCAGTTAGCATAATGTTTTCAAGGTTCATCCAAGTGGTAGCATCTATCAATACTTCATTCCTTTTTATTGTTGAATGATATTTCATTGTATGGATATACCACCTTTTGCTGATGGCCATTTGGGTTGTTTCGACTTTTTGGCTATCATGAATAATGCTAGCACAAACATCCAAGCACAAGTTTTCTGCGGACATGTTTTCACTTCTCTCAGGTATATACCTAGGATTGGAAACTCCAGGTCTCATGGTAATTCTACGTTTAACATTTTGAGGAACGGCCAAACTGTTTTCCATTTCCCATTTCCACTAGCAATGTATGAGGGTTCTAATTTCTCCACATCCGTACCAACACATGTTATTATCTGCTTTTTACTGTAGCCTAGAATTCTAGTGGGTGTGAAGTGGTATCTCCTATCAGTTTTGATTTGCATTTCCCTAATGTCTAATAATGCACAGCATGTTTTCATGTGCTTATTAGCCATTTATATATCTTCTCTGGAGAAATATCTATGAAAATCCTTTGCCCATTTTTCAATTGGGTTGTCTTTTGATTATTGAGTTGTATGTGTTCTTTATATATTCTGGATACAAGCTCTATATTGTATTTATGACTTGGAAATATTTTTTCCCATTCTCTGGGGTGTCTTTTTAACTTTCTTATGACACATACAAGTTTTTAACTTTGGATGAAATGCAATGTACCTTTTCTTGGTCACTTATGTTTCCCTTCATTCTTATACAGACCCACGCAATTTGCTAGAGCACTGATGCCACGGAGCCTGTCTGTGTTCTGGACACGAAGACACACTGTGACTGAAATCACCTAGACGGTTTCAGCTATTCCCCTTCTGGCTGAGATTTCTTCCTTTGAGTCCTATTACAGACTTCAAAGAGACTAATCTAGAAAAAGCCAACTACTGGTACCAGAATTAACCCAAAAGGAGATTAATGTAGCAAATCTTAATGTGGTCATACAGCTTACTGAAAATAAATGTTCCTAGCATTTTCACAAAAAAGGAACTACAGAGCCATCTTAAACTTATCAGTTATAATGTTGTGGGTTAAACTGTGTCCCCTAAAAGATATGATGAAGTCCTAAACCCTGGTACCTGTGAATATGACCCTATTTGGAAATGGGGTCTGTGCAGATGTACTCGCATTCAGATGAGTTCATCTTAATTAGGGCGGGCCCTAATCCAATACGACTTTGTCCTTGTAAGAAAACAAACACAGAGACCCAGGGAGAACGCCATGCGAGGAAAGAGGCAGAGATTAGAGTGATGTGTCTTCAAGCCAAAGAATGTCAAGGTGTGCTGGCAACACCAAAAACCAAGAGAAAGGCGTGGAAGAGATTCTTCCCTAGAGTGTCCAGAGAGAGTGTGGCCCTGCGGACACCCTGATTTTGGACTTCCAGCTATCAGAACTGCGAGAGAACACATTTTTCTTATTGAAGACACCCAGCTGTGGTACTTTGCTATGGCATCTCTAGGAAACTAACACACATAATAAACCAAATGCTTCAGTTATCATTAAAATTCAACCCAAATACACCAAATTTAAAGTAAATTTTGCCAGTTAATTTGTCCTTATAACATAAAATGCACATACACTCTCATGTTAAGTTTTCACTTAAACCCTAAGCACGTTGTAAAGGGCCAATCTTGGCAGCTTAACTTCGTAAAAAGCAGGAAGACTAAAATCCCCTGGAGTATTAAACTATGTGGACGCAGAGGTTGGAGATGATCATCACTGCTGGCCAGTGACATCAGAGAAGTAATGAAACCAGCCTCCTATGTTCTCTGTCTCCAGGCAAAAGAGCTCCAAGGCCCCCAGTGAGCTCAGCCTGTTATTTGCCTTTCCCCCACTGTGTGAACAGAAGGAGGCCAGGACGTCCTAGACAGTTGTAAGGACAGCCTAGACGGAAAATGGAGGCATGAAAGAAAGAAGTGTCACTGAGCATGTCTAGTACCATAACTGTTATGGGCTGAACTGTGTTCCCCCGATCCCTAAAATTCATATATTGAAGTCCTAGGACCTCAGAATGAGCATATTTGGAGACAGGGTCTTGAGAATGGCAATTAAGTTACAACGGGGACACTAGGATGAGCCCTAATCCAATGGGATTGGTGGCCCTGTAGGAAGAGGAAATTCAGACAGACGCGGACAGAGGGAGGATGATGCAAAGACACAGGAAGAAGAGATCCATCTTACAAACCAAGAAGAGAGGCCTGAAACAGATCCCTCCATCACTGCCCTCAAAAGGAACCAACTCTGCCAACACCTTGATCTCGAACTTCTAGACTCCAGAACTGTGAGGAAATAAATTTCTGTTGCTGAAGCCACTCAGTCTGGGGTACTTTGTTACGGCAGCCCTAATAAACTAAGACAATAACACAAAATAAGGTATTTTTCTGACTAAACTCAAATAACAAGGAGGAGCACTGAGAAAAGATAATGGTGGCAACGAGAAATCCATCTCTACTATTCTCTTTAAAACATCTGTCAGACTGTCTGAAATGAAGCACCCTCTCTGGGGGAACTCTGAGAAAAAGGAGAGGAACAGAGCCGGTGCTCTTGTAGGAATTCATCAGATCACATCCCCTTTGCTCAAAAGCCCCCGAGGACTTCTTTCCTCCTTCAGAACAAAAGCCAAAGTCCCTGCAGCCCGAAAGGCCCCTCCTGTTAGGGTCCCCCCCGCCTCTCTGATCTCACGTTTGGCTTCCCTCCCCTGACTCACTCCTTTCCAGCCACACAGGCCGCCTGCTGCCGCCTCAGAGTCTTGCACCTGCCCTTCCCCAGACACCCTCAGGTCACCAGGTCTTGGTTCACAGGTGACCACCAGGGTGAGGTCACCTGACCTGAATGCACAACCAGCCTCCACTCCAGCTGAACCAGCATTATCTACCACACGCCTCCCCCACAGCTCTGTTCTTCCCCAAGGCACATGTCGCTGCTTGAAATATGGTACATTCTATTCTCTTATTGTCTGATTCTCTCCCAGCCTAGTTTAGGGACTCAATGAATGAGAGATTTTGTCTTGCTCACTACCGCATCACAATCACCTAGCCAGTGTTCAGTACGCATTTCTAAATGAACGCATTTGCACCATGTTCCTTACTGGGCTGAGATTAAGAATTAGTGTCTCCTCATAATCTATACCTTCATTTCCTTCTTTAGAAAGCTCCTGCCTTCTGCCAGTGACTCAGAGACAATAAACCTCCCCAGCCCAAGCTTCCTTTTGCCTCTGCGTGCTAAACAGAAACCTGGGAGCACATTTCATGTCTCTGGGCCGCCTCTTCCTTGTTCTGTTAGCCCCCTACTCCCTGACAGGGACTTGAGTGAGCCTGGAGATCTCCGTGGACAGAAGTGTTTGCTGCCTCTCAGCTACGAATCAAGACCTGCTGTGCAGTCTAGACACTAACATGTCCTTCAGCTTCATATGTGAGAGGGGGAATAAGCTAGCACCGGCAAATTACAAGGAAGTTGAGAGCCATCTTCACACCTTAAGATTCCTTAGTATCATGCCTGAGTAAAAAATCTCTTCATTTGGAGGGAAACAAACAGGAAACAAAAAACACATAGAACTTTTTTTTTTTTTTTTAAGCAGAATTTTTTTTCCAAAGATTTTATTTTTTTTCCTTTTTCTCCCCAAAGCCCCCCGGTACACAGTTGTATATTCTTCGTTGTGGGTCCTTCTAGTTGTGGCATGTGGGACGCTGCCTCGGTGTGGTTTGATGAGCAGTGCCATGTCTGCACCCAGGATTCGAACCAACGAAACACTGGGCCGCCTACAGCGGAGCGCACGAACTTAACCACTCGGCCACGGGGCCAGCCCCTAGAACTTTTTTTTTTTAATTTACCAGAGTAGAAGGAGGAAAGCAGCTCTTCATATTACAAATGTTTAACTAAAGGAAAAGGTTACGCAAATTATGAAACATCAACTCACTGGAGTCATTTAAATGACTATCAAGATTATGTCTCAAGATAGAAATATTAATGAATATTAAGATTAAATTTTAACACGAGAAAAAACTAAGGAATCATGTTTAGTTTAAAAACATAACAGAAGCACTATATAGCCAATGATTTTAATCTTCTAGAACTATGACTACAGATGAATAAAGTTTACAAGGGAACAAAGAAATACAAACGAAGGTTTTTGTTAGGATGAAATTATAATGACTTTCTCTAACGCTGTTACACGATGATCTTAATAAATCTGACATATTTAAATGTAAGCCAGAAGAATGCTCATACTTGCCAAAGCTCTGACAGGAGAGAAGAGCGGGGATGGACCCAGGCCCTTCAGAGTGTAGAACTGAAGAAAACAAACTGGTTCTTACCCTTGTGCCTCTTCAGCTGGGGAAAGCTGCTAATGGTAGTTGCTTGGATTATTTCCACTACAATTTGATACCTGATTTTTAAAAAGAGAAAAAGAAAAGATTGAAAGGAAGAAAATACTATTTTCAGAGACACTTTTAGACTACATTTGTACGAATCAAATATAACACCAGAACTGCGAATCTCGCCCAAGGATCATTAAAATTATCCAACACGGATTGAGCCAGGCGCTATGCCATGGCACGTGCTAGCCATTTCTGAGACCCTAACGTAAGAATCATGAACTCACTCCCCCGACTCCGATCCCTATACCAGAAGCATTACCACCTGCCCCTTCTCTGAAGATAGGAACTTTGAGGTTATGCTCAACTCCTCCCTCTCTTTCAGCCCCCACCACTATCCTCCCCTTCCCCCACTAGCAACCCGAGCCTATTGATTCTACCTCCTAAATCTACACTGTCCGATAAGGTGGCCACAAGCTACATGTGGCAACTTTAATTAATTAAATTAAAATTTTAGTTCCTCCGTTGTACTAGCCACATTCCAAGTGCTCAATAGCCACATGTGCCTCATGGACCATACCGTACAGTGCAAATGGAGCATTTCCATCATTGCAGGAAGTTCTATTGGAGGTGCTATCCTACCTACTTCTCAAAGATGTCCTCTCCCCTCCAGTCCTACTGCCACCGTCTTAGTGATTTCCCTCATTACTTCTCACTTAGAAGACCATTCCAGACGAAGATAATCAGAGTATCTGCAGTGGAAGTCTGGCGTCAATACTATTTAAGCTTCCCAGGTAATTCTAACCCACAGAGCGAGTTGAGAACCACAGGAATACAGCACCAGGTGTATGTATGTGTGACTGAGAACAGCTCCAAGTCAGGAAAAATAAAAATTTATACTTTCAGTGCTGAGGACAATCCTAAAGTTGTGGCTGTTCTGAGCATATTCAGTTGGGCTTCATGAACCCAAGTTCTTAAGGGCTACTCAATGGTTCCTAAGTATTGATTGACCAAACTCATCTATCCTGTTTCCTAGCCCTTAATTACGTTGACTGATTAAGAATCTGACCATAATAAAGCTATTTAACATTCATTCTTACTCTGAACACAAACTTGGCTGCATTCTAAGATTTAACACCACATTTGGCTGGCTTTTAGAGCACAAAGTAAGATACGTTCTTTTGCTTTTCAACAAAAACCCAGATGACACACACGAATTCATCACAGTCATAGCTATTCATGGACTCTTCACAGATTCACATCTTTTTATGTCTTCACTTGTGTAATATAAATATTGACACCTGCCTCTCCTCACCTCAAAGAACAGGCTGCTGGGAGCATTGTTGGCATGTCACCTGGAGACTGTGGCAGACGCTGCTGGTTGCCACCATCCTTTCTCTCTTCCTTCCTCACTATCTGAACCAGCTTTATCAAGGAAAGCAAGGCACCCAGCTAAAAATGCTAACCTTCTCCCTAGCAGGTAGGGACGGCCATCGCATATAGTTCTAGTCTATGAGATATGAGCAGAACTTGCTGGGCCGGGTGGGGATACCAGGAAAGCTTTCTAAAGGGGCAGACCCCACAGAAAAGCCTTCTCAGGCTTTCGTCCTTGTCCTCCCCCAATTTTCCTGCATGGAACAAGGATGCTGTTGGATGAAGGCACAGCAGCCATGAGGACAAAAGTTGCAAGCTAGGAGGTGATGTAAAAAGACAGGAGTAGTTTAGGTCTCCAGTGACATGACTGAGCCATCACAACGCCCCAGACAACCTATCTCAGAATATCTTGTTAGACGAGGAAAATACATCCCAAACTTGTTTAAGTCACTGTGTGTCAAGCTGTCTCATGGCCGAACGCCATCCCAAAAGATAGGGAGCTCTTTGAAGACTCCATACACAGAGAAGACATCTGGAGGCTGAATACACACTCAGGCAGTGTTCTCCAAACGGACACCTCGCTAGGGCATCAAAGATCAGTAGTTTTCTGATGGAACTGCCTTCATTTCTCAAAATAATGGTAAAACACAAAAATAGCTCTTTCCATGAATTTTCCTGTGAGTTACTGAATGACTGAGGAAACAATAAGAAGAATACACAGGGGCTGGCCCCGTGGCCTAGTGCTTAAGTTCAGCACACTCTGCTTCCACAGCCCAGCTTCGGTTGCCAGGCACGGAGCGACACCACTTGTCAGCAGCCATGTTGTGGCGGTGACCCACATACAAAATAGAAGAAGACTGGCATGGATGTTAGCTCAGGGCAAATCTTCCTCAAGCAAAAGGAGGAAGATTGGCACAGATGTGAGCTCAGGGCCAATCTTCCTCAGCAAAAATAAATAAATAAGTAAATAAGAAGCATAGACAAACCTAGTACCTGGAACCATCAAAGTCTAACACTCCCTAACCAACTCTGCAATTTAACCTTGGACTTAGGTTCTATGAGTGGAAAGTACTGACTTCTCACTCAACCCCAGCACCTGTCTGCAAACTCCTTGGGCATTGCCACCTGGATGACCTGCAAATAGACCAATGTCCTTTCATACAGCAATTCCAATCTCAGAACTTATCACAAGGAAACCATTTAATAGAAGCAATATATATATATATATATGACTATATATATATATATATATATATACACACATGCTTGTCATAGCAGCTTCTACAAAGAAAAGCAGGGGAATAATCTATGTGGTCAATATGCTTTCATCAAATAAACAGCTGTTAATCTTTTTCTATGTTCTAGACACACAGGAATCACCAATATGGTCCCTGCTCTCAGGAAGCTCTGGGGACATATCAGACTAAGGGGAAAGCGCTCAGCCAACAATATTTAGAATTACAAAGATTACCTAAAAATATATTTTAATGACAGACTAATTCAAAGATGCAAAATAGCATGTATATTTATGACTGCAGATATGTAAATCTGTGGGTTTATGAACCAGGGCTACAATATAAAATAGGGATAAAGGAAAATGAAAGGCAGTTGTATTAAAATGGTAGAATTATAAGTCATTTTTAAACCTTTTCCAAACCGTCCATCTACTTATCTCAGCCTGTTCAAACTAAACTTACCTTCTTTCCTGCATGGGAAGCTTTCCTTACCTCTCCACGTCTGCACTAACATCATCATCCCTCTATCCTTCTAGGCTCAAAATCTTAGCATCTTAGACATCTACCCCACCAGTAAATTTCAGTCTCAAAGCCCTATTGATCTGTCCTTAGAATCTCTAATTAAGCTCCCTTCTTGTTCTTCCTTTTGTCCCCACCCCAGTTCAGGCTGTCTTCGCACACGTGAGTCACTGCAATGGCTGAACAGTCTAACTGCCTCCTTGACTTCAGCTCTTTCTCCCATCAAAACCATCCTGAGCACCCCTGTCAAAAAATGGTCCTAAAGACCACTTTCATCTCATGCCTCCCTTACTCCACACCTCCGGTGACCTCGCCAAAAGAGTCACCCTGCATTCCAGCCTGCCATTCCCTCTGCAACTTGGCACTGGCCCTCTTACCCAACCCAACCTCTTTTTCTCCTCAATATAAACCTGGACTTAGGCCAGGCCAGTTCCTACACTGCCCTCCCCAAACTAGAGTCACTTTCCAAGCTTTTGCTCATGCTGATTCCTTCTGGAAACAATCTCCCTACTTTTCCATCTAACTAGATCTTCCATATACTCCTTCTTCCCTCGAATCTTCCCCAGTCTCTCTAATCCACATTAATCTTTCTCTTCTCTGAAATCCTAAATTACTTCTGCTCTCTAGTAGCACCTACTCATATACCATTTTATACTGCAGTTATAAAGAGTCACATTTCCAGAGTGCTAGGAACAAAGAAAATGGTGTGCCCGGTCCTTTAAGGACATAACACTTCCTTAAAAAATGGTAACACATTTAAGCCTAAGACAAAGCTGTGGCTTTGTTTATAATAAAGATATGCTACCTTTTTTTTCTCCAACTAGATCATGAGCCTCTCTGAAGACAGGGATTGTGTCTTGCATTCTCCTATAGGACCTACCTTGGCACTAAACATATGGTAGGCCCTCAGTAAATACTAATGAGTGCTATGGAATGAAGGTTTGTGTCCCCCCAAAATATGTATGTTGAGGCCTAATCCCCAGTGTGATGGTATTTGGAGGTGGGGCCTTTTGGAGGTGATTAGGTCATGATGGGGGTAACTTCATAAATAAGATGAACGTCCTTATAAAAGAGACCACGTCCACCACGTGAGGTTACAGCAAGAAGACAGCCGTCTACAAACCAGGAAGTGGGCCCTCCCCAGACACAGAATCTGCCGGCACCTTGATCTTGGACTTCCCAGCCTCCAGAAGTGTGAGAAAGAAATGTCTGTTGTTGGAGCCACCCGTTCTATGGTATTTTTGTTACAGCAGTCCAAACTGACGAAGACAACAAGCTAAATTAATAAGCATAACATCTGTAACACAACAGGTACAAACAATAGGAACAATCTCTTCCTTTGATATTCTTAGTGATTCACACTCTGGAACAAATGAGTCATCAGTGGCACTGAAGAAAATACACACCATCTGAGTAAAGAGATATATTTTCAAAAGGAATCCATAAAATCATAATGCAATACTAGCTAACATTTATAGATTTCTTTCATTAGGGACCAGGTACCTGTTTAGATACTTCAATTCACATGATCTCAGTTAATCCTCATAAACAATCTGCCGTAATTATCCCCACGTTACAGAGGAGGAAGTCGGAGCTCAGGTGGATTAAGAAATCTATCCAAGGTCTCACAGCTTTTAAATACCAAAGCCAAAATTACAACCCAGAACTCCCTGACACTAAAGCTCATGTTCTTAATCATTTTCCCGCTACCCTAAAATTCAATATAGGTTAATGTTTATCTCGTCTAAAGCCTTTCTAAGTACATAAGCACAGCCAATGCCAGACAATCTTTCCAGCCTTACTGCCTTCTATATCTCTCTCGCATCCATTTTCCTGCCAAACCAGACTGCATGCAATACAACAAACACACTCCAGCTCCTTCCTGACTCCCAGCCTTCACTCTGTTTCTGCTCCCTCTTGCATGCAACCCCTCCCCCTTATCT